GCTATATCTCATCTCTCCAACTAATGTATAATATAGGCTTTATCCTTCATGATCAACGCCATGCAATATCAATACAGCTCACATTATCAACTAATAATATAGGTTATATCCTTTAGGCACGCGCCCCCACTAATCATGCAGCTATATTCACTACACCCTACATTCTCCAATCATTACGGTTATAATAGTCAGCCAAGTACATAGCCCATCGCTCTATAATACACACCTATAATAATAGGTTATACAGCAAATAAATCACAGGCCTTACCCATACAACTAATAATATAGGTTCATATACAGCAAATATACAGCCCCTATACCACTACCCCACTAATCCCAATACAACTTTACTTATTAGCTTTTTGTTGCATCAATTACATACCTGGGACTTGGGCGGGGGTGCGTGATTTAGTCGGTCATGCGTGAGACGTATGGGTCCTTCGCGTCGGTCTCGGATTACGGCTCTCCCCTCCGTCGTCCGTTTAACTTGGTCATAATCGTCTCAGCCCCTCTCCTAGTCTTCTCGAAATTCTATTGGCCCTCTCTCGGCCTCTCTTCGTCTCATCTCTCTCTCGCTCCTCTCTCCTCTCTCTCTCTGTGTGTGTGTGTGTGTGTTGGTGTTCGTGTGTGTGCTGTGTGTGTGTGTGCGGTGGCGGGTGCGCTGTGCGGTGTGCGTGGTGCGTGTGCGTGTGGCGTGTGCGTGTGCGTGTGCGATGTGCGTGGCGTGTGCGTGTGGCGTGTTGCGTGCTGCGTTGTGCGTGTGGCGTGTGCGTGTGCGCGTGGCGCGCGCGCGTGGCGCGTGCGCGTAGCGCAGTGCGCGCGCGTGCGCGTGCGCGTTCGTGTGGCGTGTGCGTGTGCGTGTGCGTGTGCGTGTGCGTGTGCGTGTGCGTGTGGCGTGTGCGTGTCGTGTGCGTGTGGCGGTGTGCGTGTGCGGTGTGTGTGTGTGTGTGTGTGGTTGTGTGTGTCGTGTGTGTGTGTGTGTGTGTGTGTCGTGTGTGTGTATGCCTCGACGTATTATATATAATTGAAATGAGATATGACATCTTGAACGTGGGACGTGGGACATGAAATCTCATAAGTGAACATTCCAATAACAACATTCTAACATCATGTCGTGTTCTTAGATCGTGATTCTCTCTCTCTCTCATCTCTCTCTGCTCTCTCTCTCTCTCTCTCTCCTGTCGTCCTCCGTCCAACGAGCTCATCCTCTAGCTTTGCGTACCTCTTCTCACTCCTCTTCCATGGCGGCGGTCGCTTCTCTTCTCTCTGCCGGTCTCTGCGTCTTCTCTATCCAGACTGCCTCATCTCTCTGGAGATGCCCGTCTTCAGTCGCCTTTATCGGAGCAAGCATGCTCTCTCTCTCTCAGTGCTCGGGACGGCGCGCTACCCGCGCTCGGGCGAAGTGGGGAGGGCCGCGTGCTCTTCTCCGCCTTCTCTCCCCATGCCTATCCCGTAAGCGTCGCGCATCCTACCCCTCTCTCTCTCCTCTCTTCTCCCTCCCCGGTTCGGGCTCATTCTCCCTTTTTGATCTGCTGTTTGGCCAAGCGCTATCAAAGAGTGCCTTTTTGTCGCGAGTGGAATATCCTTCTTACTCCGAGCCTAAATCAGATAATTATATTCGTCTCTCTCTCCACGCGTTCCCGGATCTTCGCCAAATAATGGGGATCCACGTAGTGTCGGCGAAATTCGCTCGGTAATTTTATTATGACGGTTTTAGTTATGGAGGATTTTATTATAGTATAAATTAATTATTATTTTTCATACTCTTTGTTTCATTTTGCGACCGTCCCGTGCCGAGAATCGAGATATTATCGCATAATTGGATTGGATGCCTGGAGCTTGCTCCGATACGCAATCGAAATTATCTTGCGCCTGTGACTAGGTATCTGCTTGTACTTTTATTCATATCTAAACCACGAGGAATCTTCTTCCATCTCCGCAACGTATCAGACGTTCATGCTCTACTCTCTCTCGGAGTCTTATTCATCTATTATATATTATATAATAGAAATTACCTTAGGCGATACATTAGGTAAACTAACATATGTTATCGCTCATCGCGCGCGCGCTCATCTCTTTATCGTCGTGACGTGCGGCTCTCACTCGTAAATTGGCGCCATCTCTCTGCTCCTCTCTATACTACTCACAGCTATGTATGTGTTCGCTATCGTATGAAAAAAACGATTTTGTGTTTGACCGGTCGGATTGGAAGACGGCCTCAGAGACATGCTTACCCCTGACGGGAGACTAAGGATGTAGTATAGCTGCTTTATACACGAGGCTGTAAACAGCAATCTGTTTATCTATGATTTGTCTAGTCCCGTTTTATTCATTCTCCAAGTCGCGTGTTTACTGTCGCGTTTATCCACGGTGTCTTAGGCCTAGCGTTATAGTCTTTTCCTCACGGTTCCGGTGTTTAGTACATACACAGTATTTTTTATTCCTATTACAGACTCGTGCGCCATCCGTAGGGAGAAGCTGAGTTATGTGTGGTGGCGAAGGAATCATTACCGCCAAAATTGCGGTGATAGTTAACCTAGTCGCAACGCTGTGAAACCTAGTCCGGGGGCTTCGTTTGTCGGTCGCGCGCTAACTTTTTTCCGACTCCGAGTGTGTAGTACCACGCGGTACCTTAACAGCATTATATGTACCCGCGCTAAAAGAGGTACGTATAAATGCGGCTACTGTAGGTTAGCTGTAGATTAATTGCCAATGTGCGCCTGCGCCGCGGGCACAAGTAGGAGGGTGTAGACAGCGGGTCACAGACTTGTCATCGTACACGATGGTGTTTAGGTATTATACCTTTCCCATGTTAGTAGTGTATAATATTCAGCTCGAGCAATTACAGACTCTTCAGCGCTCTAGAGGAGAGATATGCTGTCTCATAAATTATAACCCTCTAGATTTGAACCCGGATATCACAGAGTTTAGAGAACCCTACAACCTAACCTTAAACAATAGCTCTGTGTGTGCTCATCTAGAAGAAGAAGAGTAGAGTAGAAAGATGTAAACATAATAACTAAACAACGGAGCTAGAGAAACTGACATCGGTACATATAATTGTGTACGCTGATAGCGAACGAACGAGAGAGCAAGAGAGGAAGAGAAGAGACGAGAGAGAGAGAGAGAGAAGAGAGAGAGAGAAGAGAGAGAGAGGAAGATGTGTCTCAATACATATGGACGTAATATCAAGACTTTTAGGCAATCAACGCCGTTTAAAGCCCCTCGCCTCAGAGGAATGCCATAGACTATAGACGTGAGCAATCGAGTGGGAGTGTCTCGGCACAGGGCAGTGGTGGTGTGTGTGTGGTGTGTGTTGTGTGTGATGTGTTGTGTGGTGTGTGCGCCGCGCGCGGGCGTGGTGTGTGTGTGTTAAGTTTGTGTGGTGTGTGTGTGCGCCGGCGCTTGTGTTGTTTGTGTGTGTGTGTGCTGGGTATGTTGTGTGTGTGTGTGTGTGTGTGTGTGTGTGTGTGTGTGTGTGTGTCGGTGGTGTGTTGCGTGTGCGTGTGTGTGTGTCTCGGCAACAGGCGTGTGTGTGTGTATGTTGTGTGATGTGTATGTGTTGTAGTGTGTATATGTGTATGTGTGTGTATGTGTATGTATGTGTGTATGTGTGTATGTATGTGTAAATCGTCTGTGTGGTGTGTATGTGTATGTATGGTGTATGTGGTGTAAGTGTATCTATGGCCGTGATATGTGGTGTAATGTGTGTATGTGGTTATGTATGTGTGTATCGTTGTGTTGTGTGTATGTGTATGTATGTGTGTACTGTGTATGTATGTGTGTATGTGTATGTGTATTGTATGTGTGTATGTGTATGTATGGTGTAGAGGTGGTATGTGTATGTATGTGTGTGAACTGATGTGTATGGTATGGTGTGTATCGTGTATGTGTATGTAATGGTGTGTATGTGTATGTTGTGCTGTATCGTGTATCGTGAACGTATGTGTGTATGTCGTGTATGTGTACGGTATGTGTATGTATGTGTGTACTATTGGTGCTTAAAACTGCAAACTACTGCAATTACTGTTAACTACAACTTACTATACTGATAGCTATACTGTTGCTTGCTGCTACTGAGGCTTACTACTACGAACTACTGCTACATATACTGTTACTACTACCAACTACTGCTACCTATACTGTTACTACTACTACTAACTACTGTTACCTATACTGTTACTACTACTACCTATCTTATTACTACTACTAACTACTGCTACATATACTGTTACTACTACCAACTACTGTTACCTATACTGTTACTACTACTACTAACTACTGTTACCTATACTGTTACTACTACTACCTATCTTATTACTACTACTAACTACTGCTACATATACTGTTACTACTAAAGCCCGGGTCACAACAGATCGTACGAAATTCGTTCGAAATTTACTACTAATAGTTACTGCTATCTGCTGCTAACTATTAGTAACTACGGCCACGTATTGCTAACCACTGCTATCTATGCGGCTACATACACTGCTATCTATGCGGCTACATACACTGCTATATATGTGACTAAGTACACTGCTCGCGTAACTCGAGAGATCCAAAATAATTAACAATCGCGGCTTTTCTGTTAGATCTTCGTTCGGTGTAAACGTAGTTTTAACGATCCTAATTAGCATTATTTAATTATCCGACTATACGAGCACAGCAGACGTTCGTACCTCCCCCGTAGCCTCCATAGCGGTTTCGTTTGTTTCTCATCGGTACGGAGATGTCATCAGGAGGAAGGTTCTCCATTCTGGCTTCATCTCTTCTTCTCAGTCGCTTCCCGCCAGCAGTTGCATGGTCGTAGCAGTGGTCGTGCGGAGCAGTCAATCTGAAACATCAGCTGCAGTATGACTCACGCGTGTACGTATATTATCCGAAGTCGATATGATACACTCCGGATAATAGAATAATGATACGTGATGACATGATATAATGTATATAATGATATGTTATGTATACGTAATATCGCCGTGAATTCGCGTAAGTGGATCTGTGTTAGCTGTGGTGATATTTCTAGTATGAAGAGTGTTTTTATGTGGAATAATGACAAGGGTGCTTCGTCTCAGCGCTAAGGGAGCGAGAGGAATGTTAATACATACTCATTGCGTTACGTTAATTTGTATTTTAATATGAAAATTATTATTATTATAAATTTTATTATTTACATTTATGTTGCGTAAAACGTGTGCACCACGGTGGCCATAGATACGTGTATGAAAACAGTAAAGAAATAAAAAACATTTCGAAATGCACGCCCGCTAGTAAACCGTATCGCCGATACGTGAAATATTGAGTAAAATTGATTTAACGTGTTATGGATTTTACGTTAAAATGGATTACATTGTTCGTTGTTTGCTTTGGCCTGGTTTTCTAACAAATAGGAAGCACTTCTTCAATTTCGAGCAGCTATATGAGAGAAATATGTTGTTTTACAGTTGTTTATAATAATAATACGAGTGTGAATTCAACTCTCTGTCTCTGTTCCTTACCGTTTCTCTCTCCCTATCTCTCCTGCTCTCTCCCTCT